TACGCTACCAGCAGCATCAAGCCGCATCACTCCTCCTCTCCTTCTACGCGTTTGTGGCTCCCTCATCCATCCAGCATAGCAGCGGATCGATCTCCGGACCCATGCGCAGCAGGCGGATCAAGAGATGCCTTGGACGTTACTGCCAAATTCTTCTGCTTGGGTAAAGATCCTCAAAACGCACCAGAGTACGGGACGAGCGGAGTGGGACAGTGGTTCCAGGAGGCTTTGGATGCCCTCAGCTCTAGCACCGGCATACTGACCGTCGATCAGGTCATACTCGAGTTTCCAAGGTTGAAGCTGGGTGGAGAAGAGGCGAGCGGGGACGAGGAAGTGGTCAAGAAGACTTGGCAGGTGAGAATCGATGTGCTCGAGATTTCTATAGCAGGTGTGGAGGACGGCGCAGATGTTGCCGGCCGCGCAGAGATGTTCACGCTTAAAGCTTGATGCCTTCCATTTCGTGATCCAGCACTTGTCAGGGCATCCGCAGCTGAGCGCACTTGGGCTCTCCTCCGTGTCTTTGCCCGCCCTTCGCGCTGTTTTCCCCAACATCGATGCCCTTTCCTCGCGTGGAGGGGAAGCAAGTCAGAATGGCGACGCGAGCCACGACGATTCGACGGCAGCCCTGAAGAGATTTCAGACGATTCCAAGCGCATGTAGACACCCTAAAGTCATCACGATTGACCTTAGCGCTATGCGTTCTCCTTGCGCGTGGGACAAAGAGTTGGGAAAGTGGTGCGCGGACAGAGGCATTGAGCTGAGCAGCGCGAATGATGGGAACAGTGAGTCGAAGTGATGGAAAAGTGCCACACTCTTTTTTTAGCTGTGCGAGACGTGGCGGTGCGAGGCATAGCCACGGGTTCGTGGATGGTGTCGTTGACTGTTGCTTCTCACGCTCGCAGACATTCTCCCGGACGAGACTTTACCGACACTTTTGACCGAGTTCGAAGACTCGTTCCCAGTGCCGTGGCCAAAGGGAGCCACCTTGGTACCGCGCTGGTGCCTCAAGTACACGATCCGTGAGTGCCCGCTCACGTGAGCACGCAAGAGCGATTTCGAGCTACTCCAAAACAATGACTCGAGCAGCTCACTGGCTTCCACTCCTCATCTTGAAGTCATACGCGACAGAGGCGTCATTGCGGACCAAAGCTGGATATTGCTGTGTGATGTGGTCGCACCATCAGGGCAGACGAAGGAAAGGTAGAGCGGTGAAGCGATGGGGCAATGATATTTCTGTCTGTCGATCACCCAATTTCTAAGAACGAGACTATTTGCGGGCGGAGGCAGTCTGTCAAGTGACATATCGGTCTCTCAAGCGAGGCGGAAGGCTCCCATTGCTACAAGCTTCCTTCGAGAGGTGCGACTAGGCTTACCGAGGCTGGTAGCAATCACGAAGCATGCAAAGGCCGCTCGCTCACTTTGAGACTGGCACAAAACAGATGTCCTCTTCATTCCTCGGCTCATGCTGTCCCTCGCTCGTTCGGGGGCCCGATACCAGCGAACCCTGCTGAAGTTTCTCACTCTTCCGTTCGCCTGCCACTTTGGGAGCCAAATGGAGCTGTCAAGTCCCCACTCACGCATTTTGGTGCTACAGGCATTGCATTGCGTACATGAGACCCGAATGGACATTTGATGGCGCCGCTCTTGACTCGGCGAGGGGCTGCAGGGCTGCGCACTATGATGGGCTCAAGCACGCGGAATTGCACACACGACACGCTTGCATGGGTTACGTCTCAGTCCGTTTGTGGGCCTCTCACGGGACAGCGTCACTCGAACGCTGCGGCTGTCATTGTCTGCGTTCCAGCACGCGTATCCGCATGGTCGACTTTTGAGGCGAGACGCGTTTTGGTGGGTATCGATCCTCGATTGAGAGCGCTTTTCCAGCAAATCAGCTCTTTGCTCTGCCGCTCTTGCTCATACCTACCTACCTGGCACGATCGACCAAGATGCCTGGCTCGCTGCTTCGTCCTATCTGTATTCTTGATTCTTGATCCTGACCCAGAATTCTTAATGCACGGCGACGACTTATAGTTTGAGAAGCCCAACCTCTCTTGCAGCGAAAGCCACGCACGCCCAATCATGGAAAAGGGCATTTGATCACAATTCGTAATTCTGATGAATTGACGCATCCGCTCCACTCAGACATGATGAGTGCTGAGTGCATGGCCAAGGATATGCAAGAGCTAGGGCGTCGCATGGGAACGCCACCGCCACTCTTTGCCACGCCATATGCCTTTCCTGACTTGAAATAAGCATGTTGGTTCTTGCTGTCACAATTTGTTTGGTTATTGTCTGGACGTACTGTACTCTCTGACGCAAAAGGGACGCGCAGCTCGTATGAATGACCAGACTGGGGGGCGATCGATCGATCGATCAACCAGTCATTTGAATGACACATCGATCCTCTTTAGTCCCTTGGGCAAATATATTCACATTCTTGATTTTCGCGCCTTGATTGAGGTTCCTGGTTTGGGCCAAAAGTGCAGCAGCATCGCCGTCGAGTGTTGCAAGTCTGAGTGCATCATCGTGAATGGAGCCTACATAGTACTACTACTACTATGTGCGCAGCCCTGTGCGCAACCGGCTCGCATTCACCAGGCTCGCGGTAGGCGCGGTACGATACAGACCCGTGGTGTAGCGTGAGGGACGTCTAGCCCTCCAACTCAATCCTCGGAGACGAGGTGAGGTGCGTTATGTGCCGTTCCCCGATAGCGCTATGCGGGCACAGGGCGCCCTGCTTCAGCCACTTCCACGCTGCTTGCGTCATCAGAAAGATCGACTCTCGACTGTTGTGAATCTTGAATGTACAATCTTGAATCCAGCCTCTGCGGAGAGCTTTGGCGGCCTTTGATACAAATTCAAAACTCACACTATATGGATCCAATTCTTGATTGTCACTCAAAAACTGCGTGATATGTACACGTAGGTAGATGATTGAGCGCGGACACAATCCACAATTCTGAATTTAATGGATTGCGCGAGTTGGCGCTTGATATCTGATGCATGCAGGCGAGCCTGCCTTGCGCCAGCGCATTTGGCCGGCCGCTTCCTTATTCAGATCACCCGGGCCTGCGCTTAACGGCTGATGTACGCTAGGTAGGCAGGGCGATAGCAGTAACCGTAATCACGTCGAGGACGTCGTGAGCTGCTGGTGACGGTCGGCAATCGTGAATATCGCTGGACCGCGGCTCCCTGTTCCGCCTCCGCGTTCGCTCCCATCAAGACGAGGGTCGCCGGCGCTCATTTTCGCGTTGCCACAACGACCTGCTTAGGCCAAGCTCTGCCTTAGCCTGGGCCGAGTCTTGGTGATTTGATCTTCCAGCTCGACTGCCCTCGCCCCTCCGCTCTTCTTCTTTCACAACGCGCTCTTCAATAGCTGCCAGATCGCTCGTGTGCTGCAGGCGCGCACAGATCTCTTTTCATCTGCCTCTGAGGAAATACGACCCTGCCTTCTTCATTAGCTGGCGAGGCCTCATTTTCTAGACTCGGAGGCCTTGCAAGCCCTGGCGACCCATCAGCTTGCTCGCCAAGTGAACCGCCAGCGCGCAAAGCAAGGAAAGCGGAATTCTGCACACTCTTTGCAGAACAGACTTTGCTGCAACGCACCCGACATGTCAGCTGGCACACCAACATCGCCAGGCTTTCCGCTCGGATATGCTTCAGGATCTAGCGCAGCTGCTGCTTCCATGGTTGCTTCGAGTCCACGAGCTGCTGCTGCTGTCGCCGCCGCTTCACTGGCCTCGAGACCAGGCTCGAACATCGGCTCTCGTCCCGGCACCCCTTCTTCTGCAGGACTGGCTAATATGGGCAGCATGGGAGGCATCAGCGTCGACGAAGGTGAGTCGAGGACCAGCCTCACCATTGTATGGCTCCCACTAAGCGCGACTCCTGCGTGCTGAATGACCTGCTCGTGCCTTTCGTCATGGTGGCTCCGCCTAGTCCGCAAATGGACGCAGGCAGAGGTCGCTACTTGGCTGCACAGCCTTCGTTTGGGCGCTCATGCCACGACTTTTGCCAAGCATGACATCCTGGGTTCAGTACTACTGGATGTGGATCAAGGGTCCTTGAAGGAGATGGGCATCACTGCCGTCGGGGACCGGATCCGAGTATTCACAGCGATAAAAAACTTGAGAAAAAGGTGCGCAGAGACGGCAGCTATGAACACGCTGTCGCGTGTCGCGCCTCCTCCAAGAGCTGTCAATGCGACAGACAGCGAGATGGAATACCTGCACGACGTATCCACCCACTCGACGGTCCACGACTACGATGCGGCTGGTCTCGGTGGTCGTAGATCGCAGCACGTCAGGCCGCCGCCTTTGCACCTTTCCCAGTCGTCGGCCCAAGACATGCCGATCACGCCCACAGCTCCGTCCCCTTCGGGAAGTCTGAGCAACGGCCAGGGCCTGGGACTCAAGGAAATGAGAGGCCTTGCCCAGCAAGCAGGGCAAGGTCGCACTCTCAATGGATCAATCGTCTCCCGCAGCCCCGTAGGGCTTCACAAACCATTGCCGGACGTGCGCGACGAGTCTTTGTTGGGTCATCGCAAGATGAGTTCCAACGGTGGCGTAGCTGGTCTGTTGGGTGCGCAGAACCCTCGTGCAGCTTATGGCTATGGCCCTTCGGGTGGCATGCGCCCGAGCACTGCGACAGGCTCGAGCTACGCTGCGAGTGCGGGCGCTCGTGCAGGACATGGTCTCACCTCCGGCTCTTCAAGCAGCCCAACGAGCGCGACCTTCGGGGTCAGCCGGCCCTCCACCGCAGACGCTGTTCGCATACACCATGGATCGGCAGCCAGCAACCTGGCCAACAATCCATTAACGCCCATCACCGAGATGTCCAGAGACTCTCCCACGACACCTCTGTACAGCGCTACATCGGCTGCGAGTGCCAATCGCAGCGAGAGGGGCTACGCCGTCGGTCATGGTCCATTTGCGGCATCCGCATCAGGACGCCCAATCACACCTCGGGTTGCCGACGCTTCATCTGCAGCTTCGAACACTTCTTATGCCGCTCAGGCGTCCCTGGAAGATTTGAAGCGGCAGATTATCAAATTCATCGGGGAAGACGGCACCACCCGTACCGTCAACGTGTCGGACTGCCGGGATGCTTATGATGTGCTTGCGCGTGTACTCAAGAAGTTTGGAAAGAGCGTAGTGGGAAACAGCTATACTCCGACCGCTGGTCAGACTCTGTCTGCGGAGGATCACGAGTACGATGACGGCGAGACCTGGGGCATCTTTGCAACCAGCGGCGAAGGCAAGACAAAATCCTTGACGGACAATGAGCTCTTGGCTATTTGTCATGCCCCTCAGCCGCACGACCCCTTGCGCGAGAGGGGATTGACGCTTCGCAGGCTGGGTCCCAAGCATGATCACGGAGGCAAGGGCACTGCGTCGGCGCCCCGCCGCAACAAGCTCGAATCGTTCTTTGGAGAAAGAATGCCTGGTCATGCGGGCGGTAATCCTGGCGAGAGCGATCATATGGAGGCGCATACATACGTCCCGCCTACAGGAAAGAAAGTGAACCGCGCCAGTACGGTCAGCATCATGTCCGGTCTGGGCGTGGTAGCAAAGGGTAGCAAACCACCAACGGCTTGGGGCGCAACGCCTCCATTACCTGGCAGACCAGAGCTTCCAAATCGATCGCCTACCTCTGTCATCCCTCGAAAGGCGCGCAACTTCTTCGGCCAGAGACCGCCTTCAGAATTGATCAGTTCCCACTTGACGGATTACTTTCCTCAAGCCGAGAAGCGCGTGTTGGAGCGCACAGCCAGGCGCTCTATATACGGCAGACCATCCGCAAGCGTCCGATCCAAGCGAGACAGCACGTGGAGCTTCACCGCTGATGCGGATGCCCCACCTCTTCCCGGCAAGGAGAGCTTCGAGAGCAGACACAATCCCCCCTCGATCTACATCGGTACGCCCGAGGACTCTGATGATGGGCATACCTCAAGCAGCGCTTCGCAGCATCAACCTCCGCCTGCGCCGAAGCAGGCGTCGAAGCCCCCCACCCTACCGCCCGTCATCGGTCGTTCTTCGCTGGACGATTGGTCCAAAAGCTTGCAGACTGTGGGCTCGCCCGTTGAAGAATCGCCTCCGACTTTGACGCCCTTGCCCAAAGCAGGCAGACCGCTATCCCAACGACGCGCCTCTGGCGAAAGTTCTCGCAGCAGTCGCAAGAGCCTCGCGACGCAGCTGCGCGCTGCCAGAGGTATCAGCAGCTCAGGAACGTCGAACTTGAGCGGGCAAGACCGCAGCGATGCTGCAAGCATGCTGACGGTGGATGAAATCACGCAGCAAGTCGAAGACAGACGCGCTAGCATGCACCTTGCGGGAGCTGGAGGCGGTTGGGTGGTGGATGAAGATGGTGTACCTATTCCAGTGCGCAATGCTGGTCGGAAAGCAGGATCCATCATTGGCAGCACCCGTCCTCAGAGTACGCTGAGCGTCAGCGTCAGCGGTGAAGATGCAGAAGATGCAGACGAGGCAGGGGAGGAAGAACAGGCTTCGGGGCCCGGACGCAGCAGTTCGCGCATGTCAGTGCCGGGCGAAGAGACCGATCACCATGCTGGAGATCCCATGGCCGTCACCCGTAGCGCGACGAGCCGCGCGAGCAGCGTAAGCGAATTGCAACACGACATGGCAGATGATGGGGAAGAAGACGAAGAGGTGTCAGAGGATGAGATGGTGGATGAGGAAGATGAGGATCTGAGCGGCGAAGAGGAGGATGAAGAGCAAGGCATCTTCCACTCTGCGGTGCCTGGCAAGGACCCCATCAAATGGATCAAAGGAGCTCTGATCGGTGCTGGATCATTTGGAAACGTGTTCCTGGGCATGAACGCAAAGAATGGATTGCTCATGGCTGTCAAACAGGTCGAGCTTCCTTCTGGTGACTCAAAGACGGATCAGCGCAAGAAGAGTATGCTGGAAGCGCTGGAGCGCGAAATCGAGTTGCTGAAGACCATGCAACACGAGAATATTGTGCAGTACTTGGGTGAGTGGTGCTGGCGGTGTCACGGTCTCGGATGTCTTCTCATTCGCGTCGCACCTGTCTTTCATCTCCAGACTCGTCCGCGGATAGCACGCACCTCAATATTTTCCTCGAGTACGTTCCCGGCGGCTCTGTCGTCGCTCTTCTCCGCAATTATGGCGCTTTCGAAGAGCTGCTGGTGCGCAATTTTGTAAGGCAAATCTTGCAAGGTCTGAGCTACTTGCATGCTCGCGAAATCGTACATCGCGATATCAAGGGCGCCAATATTCTGGTCGATAACAAGAGCTGCGTCAAGATTTCCGACTTTGGCATCAGCAAAAAGGTGGAGAGCGGTGAGTGGACAGAGTCATTGAGAAGGCTGATCGGCTTCTTGGCATACCAGCGTGTACTGACGAGCAATAGCATCGCGCACAGACCTTCTCGTTAGTGCCAGGGCACACCGACCATCGCTGCAAGGCAGCGTGTTCTGGTGAGTGTTCGCTTGGCCATTGACCGTGTAGAAGGTCCCTCCGCTGACGTGCGGCTCGCATCGACAGGATGGCTCCCGAAGTCGTCAAGCAGACCTCCTATACTCGCAAAGCCGACATTTGGAGCTTGGGTTGTCTGGTCGTGGAGATGATCAGCGGGACACATCCATGGGCCAATCTGAACCAGATGTGAGTCATTTCCGTTCGAAACTCTATTGGAAAAAAGACACTCGCTCATGCGACTGCGTGGCTGAACAGGCAAGCGCTCTTCAAGATTGGATCTTTTGCCAAGCCAACTTTGCCCGATGACGTATCGCAAGATTGCATCAACTTTTTGAACGCCACCTTTGAGCTGGATCACAACAAGCGTCCATCTGCTGACGAGCTTTTGCAGCATCCCTTTATCGTTGGAGAGTACACTGGTCCTGCAAACGCGAGCGGCAGCAGTGCGGACGATCCAAATTCTGCAGGCTCCGTCAAGGCTGCTTCATCGGGTGCCACGACGGTGTCTGGCGCTACGGGAGCCGGTAATACTGTCAAGGCTAAAAAACAATCTGCTGCGGCTGCTCGAAGAGCTCGGGATGCTGTACAAGCACCTGTCCAGGACTCTGCAGACACCTTTTCATGAACGGCCTGCGCGGCTTCAGCTTCGGCGTACCTTCATGCCTCGTTACGAACCCCTCATAGTCTCGATTTGCTTTTCGGATCGCTGATTTCAGTGTATTTCATCATCCCATCAAGGTTCCTCGGTTGCATGTACGCGATGTTTCTCTTTCATGCTTTGCACGAATGCGCGCAATGTCCCAAGTATCCAACAGACATTGCATTGCACGACGCGTGTGAAGCGAGACGTAGAGCAGAGAGAGTAGATTAGGTAGACTTTTGCCAGCTCAAATTCCAAGGTGAAGACTTCCGAGAGTGGGTATGCACCGTGAGGCAACAAAGACAGAAGACGAAAAGGGAAAAAAAAAGGTAGG